CAAGATGCTAAGGAGCAATGCTGGATGAAAACGTTAAACTATGGAAAGACTAGCAGAAGAGTAAGTACATAGGATTTGCAGGGCAAGTGCACGAGGCAGTAAGAATGGCATAAGAAACACCTAATGAGAAAAGACTGAACAGGTCACTAACGCCTGATGGACAGGTAGACACTGAAATGCAGACTGGTTCCATAGCACATCAAAAGTAAGACCACAATAAGAACTTTTCCAAATCTTTTCCAATATCTAAAGATATTTCAAAGGGGCAAAAGGGAAGTAAAATATACATATATATCATTAAGATGCTCAGATGTTTCTGGAAGTGATTGTTATACAAAACGCAAAGAAAAGTGATTTCCTACAAAAAAAAAAAGGAAACTTACCTCTTTCTGTATGGCTAAATTTCAAAGAAAACCTCTTCTGGTACTTGCAATTACGGTCCCTAACATATGAATCATTCAAAGTATATTATCTCAAGAATAGATTACATTAATTAACAGAGAAATGTATTTTTGAGGATAAACTCCAGTTCACTATTCAGTTTCTAACTAATAAACAATGTGTCTTTGAGGATACATTCTTAATTCATCTAGACAGTTTCAGATCATAACCATCTCTCAAAGCTATGATGCTGAGGTAAAGATGCCTATCAATTGTGTCTTAGAATGACAGGAGAGTCTTAATTCTTCTGGTATTAAAGAAAGAAAAGCAGAAGCAAACAAAAATGTCAGCATAATTTTGTATGGGCAGAAATGTAAGGGGAAAAAAAAATGTTTTCTGTGTTCAGGAATAAAAGTTGTCAATAAAAATGGCAACAGTATGTAAAACAGTGACAAGTGATAGTTGTTGTGGGAAACCATAAATTTGAAATCCTTCACTTTATGTGTTCCAAAGCAGATGTTCAGCTGCTATAAATCAGCAAAGCTCCCTGACCCTTAATTTCTTAACCACAGGACTATGCCATGGGCTTTTTACACTGAATTTATTTAAACTATATAGCTTTATTCTAGCTATTCAAAGAACTACAATACCCTCTAGTGGGCAAAGAATTTTGTTCATAGAAACTGGAGTTAATTGGAACAACTTGAAGCAATCAGTGGTTGCACTCTTTAAAATGTCAATGCTGAGTGCATGATTCACACAGATAGAGCCTAAATAATAAGCTAAACAAAGGATATAATGATGAATACAATCCTGTGGTTTATTTTGGTGTGATAAAATTGTGTAAAGAGGAAGTAGGAACTGGTCTCGATAAGTAAGAATACATAGTCTCGTGAAAGAAAAGATCCATCTTAAATTAATTTTTAAGTTACAGTAAGATTTACTCATGAGCTCCCTTTCCCTATAGTTCCTCATGAGTTGGATGCTTTTCTCAGCACTGGCCAGCATCTCCATATTCACTGATGTTCACAAATGATGTTTCCCAATAGGGACGTTTGTCTTTGCTTTTTTTCTTTACATTTTCTTAAAATATGTTGTAAAAAATACACTGAAGTAAACCAAAAAGGACTGCATAGATGGAGCATGTGTGCTCATGTACTTTGTTACTTCCTTTTGTGGAGAAATGTTCTAAGATGCTGCGTAATGAAATTAATAGAACCAAGCTAAAGGAAGTGAGTTTATTAGAGCATAGAAGGGTGAGAATGGTAGTTGCTATGTTTCAAAAATAAAACAAAAAGCCACAGGAAAACACCAAACAAGCATACAGATGTCACTATCAGCATCTGACAAAAAATAAGTGAATACTTAAAAGACAAAATATGTATTTCACACCACAAAACCAACCACAGGAGGCATCCCAACAGTTAAAAGGAGAAACTAAAAAAAGAGGGAAACCACTAATAGAAACTATTGGGAAAAAAACAAAAGTAGCTTACAGCTGTGCACTCAGGATACATGCAAGTAATGCTGTAGAGCAGTTAGTCTAAATCTTTCTTGATTTGCTTACTTCTACATGTATTTAAAGTGGTAATACAGAGAAGCTTGCTGTAATCTTCCACCATCTCCTAACTGTACAGTATGGCTGTATGGTTCATCCCAGACTCTCCTGAAACAATATTTAAATAAATCAGTTTCAGAAGTTTAGAAAATAGGATTTCCATGCATTAGTGTGCTATTCTGAACACTCTCCATTCACAGTTTAGTCCCCAGTTCACATACATTCTGTGTCTGAAATACAGAAGATAGTTTGCCCCTTATTGAAGAAAGCCAACAAACTGAAAAAAGTGCAAGTCCTGTTACATTCTAATTCCAAAATATCAGACTTCTGGTTCAATGCTTTTCTCCAAATCCCGTTTTTCAGTTTCCTCGTCTTGGAATACTCAAAACTTCAAAGATGATCAGTGAGAGATTAAGTCATAATTTATGACAACCGTGGCCCCATTTGCGTGTAGCCAGTGCTGCTGGCAACAGCTGACTGTGTGGTTTGCCTTTTACCCTTTGTATTACTGAAGCTAATGACTTCAGTGATATTTCCAAAATAATTTCCTAATGCTTTTTCTAACCACTGCGTGGCAGATTGTTGCCTCGTTTCCAGATTCACTAATTTGTCTGCATCAAACCCCATGTGTTGTACTGACAACCAAATCATCAAAATGGGTCAAATTGCTTTCCATCTTGTTTCTCATTACTTTGTTTTCATCTGTACAGTGAGTAACTCTGAACAGAAGTTTTCTCATGTAAGTATTCAAACTACATGGAGCAAATTCATAGAATCAGATGTGCTCAGCAATGAACAGCTAGTGAGACATTTTAAAAGTGATATCATTCTTATATAACATGAAGCACGGGTTATATGAGGTTATTGTGACTCTACAGGAGTATTAGCTGCTAGCTCGCCTACTGGTCTATAACAGACATATGATTGGTAAGCAGGCTTCCACTCTATGACGAGAAAGTAAACCTGTTGCACTTAGGGTTTTTTTGGTGCTGCTGGGTAGTAGCATCACCTAGCTTCTATCCCAGTGACTATCATTCAGCTGTATGCTCAGCAGCCTGAAATCTTGAGTTATTTCTTCTCGTAAAGACTGCCCATCAGTGAACAGTATATAATTGGCCGATGCTCGTAACACTGCTCCATTTTGAAATGCTTCTCCTGCTCATAGGACACTTATATTTTCAAGCCTACTACACCTACTACACTCAAAGTATGAAATCCACAAGTAAATTTTTATTTTACTTTATTGCACATCATTGAAGCAAAACTTTTAAATCTAAAGAACACTCTTATTATAATATGTATGGAATCTGATTTTGTTTTGATACTTCAAAATCCAATTAAATTCCACTTGCTTGGAGCTACTCTTTCTTTATGCAAAAAAATCTAAACCTGGATATTTTAAGCATTATTTGCCTAAAATCCAAAATCAATACTGTTAATCAATACCGAAAGAAAGAGATAGCTTTTCATTAACTCAGGAAATACTCATTTGTGCATGCACTGAAAAACGCTTAACAATCAGAAGTACAATCACACCATCTTCTGATCAGTCTGTGGTATTACATGTGAGAAAGCTCAAACACTCCAGCACTGGCTGTTCTCACTGTTAATTCAGCATGATTACATATGTAACAGTCTCAATAAACATTCAATCTTTGTAAAGGTAATAATTGTATGTTGAATAAAAAGAGATGGGCACAATATTCCACATCAATTTCCAGATGGAGAATTTTGAGCAGAACACAAATTGCAGTTTCATCTAGAAAGACTTCATATTGAAATGTTTTGTTTTCCTTTCCGACAGAAGACAACACCCTTAATCTATCTAAAAAAGCAAGCTCTCTCAATATGTTGGTAGTACAGCTGAGTTCCCTTACTTAACCCAGCCACATTAAAGATGAGAGCTCTTCACACTGAGTTCTGTTTGCCTCATACTAAACCTAAAAAGGCTCTGTTATGTAGTGCAACTGTCCTCACCGCTGCTGCTCCATTGCTTACAATTTCAAATGAAGCATTTAGGACAAGTAATAAGGAGCAGCAAAAACTAAAAGGGAGCACATGCAGCATCAGGGCCAAAGACCAGAGTTACAGAATTGTTGGAGTTGTAAGGGATCTCTGAAGATCACCTAAGCCAATGCTCTGCTAAAGCAGGTTCCTTATAAGTTACACAGCAAAGCATCCACGTGGGTTTTTAATATCTCCAGAGAAGGAAATTCTACAGCTTTTCTGGGCAGCGGTGTGGGGCCCTTGGGAAAATGATGCACCAGTTTCTCTTCCTCATGTTTGTACGGAACTCCCCTTTCAGTTCCGTGCCCATCGCCCCTTGTTCTGCCACTGGGCACTGCTGAAAAGAGCCTGGCTCCACCCGCTCGCTTCCCGCCCTGAAGGTATTTATATGCCTTGAAAGCCCAGGAGTTAAGAGAGGTCTGAGGACCCTTGTCCCAGGTAGCTGTGACAGGATGGGAGGGAATGGCCTTCTTGTCGTGCAAGGGGAGGTTCAGGTTGGAAGTTCTCAGGAAGCGCGGTGAGGCGCTGGCACGGGCTACCCGGGCAGGTGCTGGAATCACGGACCCTTTGGCCGTTCGAGAAACGAATAGATGCGCCACGGACATCACGGTGGTGATGGGGCGCGGATTGGACTAGGTGACTCTAGAAGCCTTTTCCAAGCGTAAGGATTGTACGATAGCATTCTGTCATTCTGTACAGGCACTGCTGTCGCACTGGGGCTGCTCACGACGCGCAGTACTGGCAGTGGGACACCATTTGGCTTCACCTTTATACACTCCCCAAAAGTCCCGCACACTGTGCCGTGCCTTCACAGACTGCCGTCGCGCTGCCGACCGCATCAGGGACCCTCCACTCCTTGCCCGCCTACCCTCATCCAAGCCCTCCTCAGGCTGCGCGAGCACGGCGCGCCACACGGGAAGCGGAAGCGCCAGCCAGGGAGTAAGAAAAGAGGCTGCGGCGCCTGCGCAGCTCCGCTAGGAGCCCGGCTCGGCCCGGCCCCTCCCCTGCGCAGGGGCAGCGGCTGCCGTAGCCGCCTCCTTCGCCGGCCCCGCCTCGTCCTCCCGGCCCCGGGGGCCGCCGCCGCCGCCCCGTCATGTCCGAGGTGGGCCAGGAGCTCGTGCACCTGGTGTGGGGCAAGAAAGCCGGGCCCCGCGGGCTGGCCGACACCATATTCTGCCGTTGGGCGCAAGGTAGCTGCATGCGCGGTGTCCCGCGTTCCCCTCCGCTCGGCCCGGGCCCCGCGGGGCCTCCACCGGGCTCGGCTCCCACCTGTGGGGCGGGGCGGTGCCGCCCTCTGCCTCTGCGTGCGTCCCCGCGTGCGTGCCAGGGACCCCGTGGCCCTGTGGCACTGTCTGGGGGCGCGGGGCAGTGTGAGGGCACGTTCCCGCCACGCGCGGCGTGGAGCCCTCGGGAAAATGATGCAGCAGTTTTGGTTCTAAGTAATTGGGGTGGATTTGTTTGTTTGTTTGTTTTTGCAGCTTGGGCGTCTTTTGCCTCGAATTTGAATAGGAAAGGAAACGTGTTTCTTGCATGTCTCTCAAGGGTATCTTATTATCTTGCATAGCTTGTGGAAGCAGGAGTGCTGCGGTGCCTTTCGTACTTCAAAAACAGGGTGGTCACAAACGGCCTTTTCTAAAGCAGGACAGGCGTGAGTCAGAAGATGTGGATGTATGTAAACGGGTTCTTTGGCAGCTGAAGCATGTGCACGGTACTAAGATGGTGAAGGGTCTGGAGGGGAAGACATGAGGAGTGGCTGAGGTCCCTGAGTTTGCTCAGCCCAGAGCAGAGGAGCTGAGGGGAGGCCTGATGGCGGCTGCAGCTCCTCACAGGGAGTGGAGAAGCAGCGCTGGGCTCTGCTCTGTGTGACAGCGACAGGACCCGAGGGAACGGCATGGAGCTGTCGGGGGAGGTCACCTTAGGTATCACAGAAAGGTTCTTCAGTGGAGAGTAGTCAGGCACTGGAACAGGCTGCCCAGCGAGTGGTCCTGACACCAGGCTGGCCAGAGTTGAAGAAGCATCTGAGCAATGCACTCGGGGTGTGGGTTGGTTCTTGGGTAGTCCCGTGTGGGGCCAAAGAGTTTGACTCAATGGTCCTTATGGGTCCCTTCCGACTCATGATATTCTATGATCTTTGCGAGGTGGCCAGAAACAAGGCAGCAATAGTGGGCCATAGGGTATTTGTAATGTGGTTTTCTTTTTTTGTTTTCTTTTTTTTTTTTTTTTCATAGTAAATTACACATGAATCCTGTGCATAACTTCTTCTTGATGGGAATTTTCTGGTATTGTATGAAACCTACAGTTATAAGGGATAATAAGGCAACTTACTGATAGAAATGACACATAAGATGTCAGTCTGTGTCCCTGTCTTGTCTTAAATGTATTCTCTGTAACATATTATGGGAGCACATCAACTGATGCATGACCAGTTAGCAGAACATAACTGACTGAAGTGGATATGCAGTTTGAAGTTAATGATGGTTCAAGAATTGGAAGTAATTCCCACTCCATGATGCATTGGCAACTTTAAATACCTTCTTTTGATTCCAGAACTTGCAAACAAGAAATTGTGAAGCTGTTGATTGTTTTTTATTTGTGTGGTGGTTTTTTCCTGTGTTGTTGTTGTTTGTTTGTTTTTCCCCTCCAAGAAAAATCTTCCTGCATGATTGCAGAACTTGCAGTTTGAACCCAGGGAATTTCATTTATCAGAGTGCTCAGGGTGTACTCCAAGCAAGGGCTTGCTTGGTCTGCACTTCGCTGTTTCCTGGTGTAGATACAGTGACTGAGGGAAGGTGGTAGGAGGGCTGAACCCTAATGAAGCATGCATGTGTTGGGAATACTTTCTTTCATTGATCCAGGGTATAGATTCCATTCATAAAGTTGCTCTGCAGATCAGCCCTGAGGTGTGCTGCATCTGTGCTATGCAGCAGTTAGTGTCTGGCAGGTTTGAGTGCAATGTCATTTTGCAGTTACCTAAGCTGTTTTCTCACTGGTCTTTGGAAAGACGTGGATCAGCCTTTTCAAAAGAGTTGCTTAGCCTCAAAAGCATAGTATGAATTGATATTGCTATTGACATATATATATGTGTAACATACAGTGTAGAGAAATCTGTTTCCTTCCAGTTCTCATGTCTCCCATTTTCTTTCCAGGTTTCCTTTTTTGGATCTCTTTTGTTTAGCCTAGTATGTTTAAATAGCACAAGATTGGCTTTTTTTGCATCCTTAGTTGAGGAGCTACATTCTGCAGTATAGCTTATAAGTGTCTGGAACTTTAGTATTGTTAGACCATGAGCAAATCAGGGATTCCAGAGGAATGTATTTTTACTAGACGAGCAGATACGTTTCTTAGGCGCCTGCCTCTCTTTAAGTCTGAAGTGGAGCTAGCAATTTGAAGACTGTTCATTTGAATTTAAGTTAATTTGTAATTCATATGGGTGATCAGAGAAGTGACTGTTAATTATGTACTTTTTAGTATTTTAATAACTAAGCTTTATGAAATATCAGCATTTTTCTGTTTTCTGTCTCATTGAGTTCCGTGCTACTCAATGCAAACAGTTAATCAGAAAGAAAAGAAATATGTTTTTCTTATTATTTGCAGTTAAGGTGCAAGACAAATGTTGGCATACGAACAGGTGGAAGAAGTAATTGTAGTTTTTGTCCCACCCATACTTGTTACTACTGTCTGCTCTACGTACTCTTTCTTTACATTCTTTGGTGAAACTATTTTTGAAGTTGCTATTTTACCGATGCTATCAAACTTAAGAAAGTATGCCTTGGCCTGTGGCTTTTGAGTTATGGTCTTTGGAATGCTTCTGAGAGCTCTGAAATCAGCCAAAGCTCCTGTGTAATTGAGATGGGTCTGTGCTGACAGAAAGTGCACAACTGACTGAACAGTGGTTCCTGCTTCGCAGGAATCATCACTCATTTGATTCAGGACCAAATGAATCCTTGTTTTTTTTCTTTTCTTGAAATTTGACAGACTAGGCCTTCCCTCAACCTCCTACCTATCCATTATCACATATGCAGCACATATCCAGTGTTATAGACTTCATTGCTAGTTTCTGTGCTACATTTAGTGAATTTCATTTTGTACCGAAATGGTGAAATCTGCCATACCATGGAGTTCGCTGCTTTGAAAAAGGAGGCTTTGGCGGGGGAAATATTTGTTCATTAGTTTATTTAGAGGAATTGTTATTATCTGTAAGTAACACCCCCTCAGCACTGTTAAACTGGAAGAGGAATAGAAGGTATCATTCACTGCCCAAAATGGGGTGTGAACATGTAAATTAAGTTAATGAGAAGGTTATATTCTCTGGCTAACAGGCAGGCTGATGTAGTTGGGATGAAGTAAAGCAATAAGAATGTGAAATGCCCATAACACAGTTATCTAAATAGTGAAACCTAAATCTCTTTGCTGCCTGGATCCAAAGAGGAAAATTGGATAATATGCTGTCCTTACCCTAAGAAAGGCCGTAGTAGTGTCAAGATACCTCTCCTGATAAGGGTGACAGGCTTAATGAAAGCTCTGGGCAGTGTACACATCTGTTGAAGTTCTGAAGTTTCACAGAGCTATATTTTTGACAGATCTGAATAGGAGGAGACAAGTTGGAACCTTACTTTGTTTTCTAGCAGGTAGTTGCCCAGTGCAATCAGCAGCCTGCCATTTAATTGGTGTAATTTCCTCAAATCCTTCCAGGACATCCTGACCTCTTAAGTAGAGTTGTTTGGGTTTTTTATGGTAGCAGGTAACTAAGCTGTACATTTGTTAAGCAAAACGTGTGCAAAAGAATTGAGAACTAGACATAAGAAGTATGAGCATTGGTAAATGTCAGATCTGGGGAAAATGAGAAAAGTAAAACGTTGGTCAAGAGCAAACAAAGTACATGAAGACAAATTACAAGTAGTATAGACACTATATCTGAAAATATCGGTGACAGCGATTAAAACAGGAGTCTGAATGTACTCCACACAGACAGGAGGATAAGGCAGAAGAACAGTGGTGGTGGAAAAACAAATGAGGTCAGTGGTGCAGTTGATAAGGTTGTAAATGGCATGCAAGGCAAATGATACTGATGTGATTGATGTAATATGATAACAGTACTTATGGATTAAAGCAGGTAGATGGTAGGGGAACAAAAGAGTTAAATCAGCTGCATTATTTTACCTTGGTGGTTTTTTCTTGAATGAAAGGAGCCGTATGATGCAAATAATTTGTTGAGATTGAGAATTAGTAGAAAATAGGACAGATGAGGGATGCTGGTCTTATCTGGTGGCTTCGAAGATGGCCAGACCATTCTTGTGGATCATTGCAAGAGTGTGGGGCAAGGAGTTTTTATAGAGATTGCTTAAGATGTGGTTATTTTGAAGAGAAAAAAAAAAAAGGAGATGCGATTGCAGGCTGTGGTAGTTTTGAAGCCAGAAAGACTTCAGTGCTGATGTCTGAAATGCTACCGGAGCTGACTTCAGATTTCATAGACGTTTTAAGAAGGAAAACAACACCTTTGGTTTGCTTGGTTTCAGTGGGTTGGTTTTGTTTTATTCTTGCTCCATCATGACATCTATTGAGCAATAAGCAGTGATTAGCTGAAAAGAAAATACTGCTTTAGGTTTTGCATGTGATTTTGCTGTGGTTGTGTTCTGTCAAGCTGTGGATGGTATTAGTTTTGTGTCATCTTTCCTGAATTTCTCCTTGGTGAATCTCACTGGATTTTCTTTTTTTAGGAGGCAGTTTTGAAAAACAGGGCAGGGTGAGCTGAGACAGTTCGTGCTTTCTCTAAGAAACTGGAAAAATATGAAACAAGGCCAAGAGTTCTAAGTGTGGCTTAGTGGTACCACATCCAAGTATGTTCTTCTACTGTGGTGGTTAAATCATTAAAATAAACTAAAAAAAATGTTGCTGCAGTGTGCTTAGCTGGCATGCAATAATGCTTCAAAGCAGGAAGAAACACATTTTAATGCAGATAAGTGTGCACAAACTAATTCAGATAGTTGAAATGATGGGCATGTTTCATTTTAGGGCACCTGAACAGTGGAATTCACACTAGTGCAGGTTTTGAAGTATGGATTAATACATTTTCATGCTGGATCTGAGGCATAACAGGTGCCTGAGGTTTGCATATAAAACACATCAGCACATTGTACTGCACATGGTTCAGAAAAGCTAGAGCCTTGCAGTCACATACAGGGGAAAGCGCACTTTTGAGAACTGCAGCTGTACTGTACACCTTGCAGGTTTTTTCACACTGGTGTTGAACAACTATCATTTCTGTGATGAAGGCTGCCCTCAGATGTGCGCAGTGCTCTCTGGTGCTGTTAGGGATGATGTGGCTCTTGTGCAGTAGTGCAGAAGTCTGCACCAGGAGATACGTTGCCCTCGTTCGGACTCGCACCCAGAAGTTGGGGGGCTATCATCTGATACAGCAGGGTGTAATGGTACAGAACCAGGGAAAGGAGAAACTGTGGGAAAGGTGTGTTGAATATTCCACTGAGACTGACACTGTAAGGAAGTATGCATGTGTATTTTCTTTTTTTTCCTGTCCCCACTTGCTTGCATTTGTTAGTTAGTTACTGGCTGTAGTTGCATGGTTTCTAGATTACATGAACGTTACTTTAGCACTATCTTACTGGCACTTAAAAAATAATGTAAAATGCCACTCACTGTAAGTTGTTGTGCATCAGCTTCATCGAATTAATTGTTCATGTGCATGCTTTTACCTGAGAAGTGCAAACTGTAAATTAGCATGTCTTGAGAAGTTTAAGAACAAAGTGATAGCAAATAATTCTGCAGTATTGGTTCCAGCATTTGCCCTATTACATGACAGTAAAAATAAATCTGCTTGTAAAGATGGAGAAGGGAAAATAGGTGGCGTTGCATTTTGCTTAGTACAGTGTCTGTACTGTGAAATGCCACTGCTAAGATGCTTGCTTTGGTGGTTATAAGTGAGTATTTGAGTTAATCGTCATATTTCAGCCTTATTAGGCAGCACTGATACATAATGCTCTTCATAGGCAATGAAAGTGTACCATGTGTGCTCAGTAATGCTCAAAAAGTGATTTTAAAAAACATTTTTTTTAATGTATTCGAGACAAAATATTTTAAATAATAAACACAATTTAACTGATTTCTAAGATATATTAAATTAAAAACTATGGTTGAAATATTCAGCTACACATATTTTGATAGTCTTACTGTTTAAAAAAATAACACTCTAGCTGTTAGCTCTTTATGTCCGTTATTTCTTTGCTGAGATAATTATTTTTCCTCTTACCTGTTTCTTTTTGGTTCAGATAGTTTAAAGACATTCTGCTGCATGACTGGGGGCAGAAGGAGATCTAGGAGACTCGTTTAATCTTTTAAAAACAAACAAAACAAATGTCTTTTCTATTAGGGGACAATGATATTTAAACACCCTTGTTTATGTATTTCACTAAATACTACCTGTTTTCCATTTGACAGGATTTGTCTTTAGTGAATCTGAATCAACTGCTTTAGAGCAATTTGAAGGTGGCCCTTGTGCAGTGATTGCACCTGTGCAGGTAAGATGTATTTATTGCAGCAAGGATTTAAGATTAACAAGCCCAAATTTTGTTCTTTTCAGAGCATATGTGGAACTGAAGTACAGAAATTATTGCAATAGATTACTGGTTATTGTATTGGTTCTCTTTAATCTGTTGTGCAAATTTTAATTTGCAATGGTTAAATCAGCAATTTGAGTAAATACTGAAGGGGATTTTTGCTCTCTGGGTGATTCGGTACTCCTCCTCAGTTACATATTGCAAAATTTGCGTCCGTTACTGAAGTCCTGTGAGTCTGGAGGTGTTTGTTTAAATACTCTGAAGTGTGCTTGATTCAGTGTTACTGAGATTGAACCTAATATTTTCAGGCACCTCTGTGGTTACATTGAATGGGAAAAATCAGTAAACAGTGCAGGCTTCGGGTGCCTTAGTGAAGAACAAGAAGCTTGAAACTCTAATAACATGCAGAAATACTTTGGTATAGAGCTTGTAGTGAAATGTAAAATTTGGTATAGAGCTTGTAGTGAAATGTAAAATTTGGTGCTGTTTGTATTTTAATCTTTATTTGATGCTTTGATATCAAAGGCGTTCCTCTTGAAGAGGCTTTTTGCCAGTGAAAAGTCTACTTGGAGAGACTGTCCAGGTACTGAGACTGCTTTTTCTTTTATTTCATGTGAAAAAAACAAAAAAGATGTAGTATGTATACTATGTAGAATGATGGGATAGTTTGGGTTGGAAGAAGCACAGAGATCACCTAGTACACTCTCCTGCCACAGGCAGGGATACCTTTTGCTTGATCAGGTTGTTCAGAGCCCAATCCAGTCTTCCAGTGATGGGGCATCCGCTGCTTCTCTAGGTTACCTGCTTCAGTGCCTCACTGTCATCACTGTAAAATATTCCTTCCTCATATATCATGTAAATTTACCATCTTAAAGTTTAAAAACCATTGTCCCTGATTCTACTACAGGCCCTGGTAAAAAAAAAAAATAAAAAAATAGCGTTTCTCTCTCTTACAAGCTCTCTTTATATAGCAAAAGGCTGTAATGTTTTGCCAAAGCCTTGCTCTCTTCACGCTAAACAACCCAAAGTCTCTCTAAATTCCTATTTGTGAAGTTCAAGTCAGACCACAGCACTTGTGTGCTTTAGGAATACTTGATTAACTGAAACCTATTACTAAAACAGGGAATAGGTTAGAAATCGTATTAAAATATGTTTCTCTAAAGATGGCTTTATGATTCTTTGGTCCAGTATTATCACAGAGTAGTCAGCATTAATAAGTTAAGGTGAACGTACATAATTGTTTAGAGTATAAAAAATACTGGAAGCATATGTAAGATACTGATTAGCAGCAGTTGAACTCATGTAGGTTTCTGATCTTTCAGAAGTAGAGCAGAAAAACCTTCTCTGTCACACATTATGTGATATTTTGGAAATGGCTTGCTCTGATAACTCTGAGTCGTACTCTCTGGCAACATGGATAAGAGGAAAAACAACTGAAGAAACTGCTAGTATTTCTGAAGGTCCTGCAGAATCCAGTCATCAAGAGGAACAACCTTGTAAGATGTATTTCTATTCTAAATTCTCTATTACTTAGTAAAGTATTGTGTTGTTTTTAAGGGTCTCTTGCTTTTATTAGTGTACAGATGAGGTTTTCACCCTTGTAATTCCATTAGCAGTAGTAGATATTTGTCTGTTTTAATTAGGCATTAATCCTTTTTGTGAAAGGCGTATGATTTCTATCACCAGGGTTATTAGAGATGTTATTCTCTTGAGTTTGAGCAATTTACACAAACTTTTGAGGTTTGTTTTTGTAATTCAAGGCCTTTTTCTTTTAACTTTGGGGAAAAAAGGCATGCTTTCTGACACCAGAGGAATATTTTAACTGGCCATTTGTAGCTGTATTTCAGAAAAGCATTTACAAGAACTCTTCAAAGCTGAATTGGTTCGGAAATATTCTGGATTCTGTTGGGAAAAAGTAGCATTCTTCCCTTTGTTTGCTTCCATGTGATACCAGAACAGCTTAATCAAGTGACCTTTTAGTAGATTAACCGACTATTTTGTAGGTTAGAATTTTTCCTTTACCTACTTTATTCAAATGTCTTGATTTCTTCAGTAGTTACTGAACATCTCCTGTTACACTGATATGACATCAAGTCATATGTAACTATTGTGGTTCCAGTGATTTGGAAATTTTTTTTGTGTGCACGTGATCATTGAGATATATTTATTAATCATTAATAGGAGATATCTAGCATGTTAAAAGTTAAGCTTCTTTTTCTTTTAGTTTTTGTTCTCAATGTGCCCTTTGAGAAGTATGAAAAACTCTTCACATGAGAACATGCTTATAAAGGTGCCATCTTTTGACGGAAGGTATCTGTCATTCACCACTTTGTGACATAATTACAAAGTAAGAATTGTAGATCTGTATGTGTAAAGCTAGCTACAGCAATTAGTAGTGCTGGAGCTCTTTATGGCACAAGTCATCTTCATCTGCTGTCAAATGCTTCATGTGTTTTAGAGGGCTTAAATGATAATTTTACTTAATTGGGGAAAAAAAGTCACCACATATAAGTTCCAAAGTGAGCTACATTTTATAAAGAAAAAATACTACATGGGAAGTTGTATCTGCAACTCTTCTGCATTTAAAAATGAAAAAAAATCTTCCTTTGAAAGTTGAAGTGGTTGTAACTTTGAAATTCCTAATTTTGTCTGCTTTTCCACATGTCTGTGAAGCTCTTGCTCATATTATGACTTTTCATTTGAATAGAAAGTGAAGCAGAGCCTGTTTATCAATAGTTTATTTCCTTTTGGGTTAATATATGGCCTCGTTCTGAGGAACTCTGACAAGTGTGTTCAGGAGGTCTTTTTAAGCACAACCTCAACATTAACAATTTTATCCTCAACATTAACAATGAACCAGTCAGTTGTATCTGTTTTTCCTGATTCTCTACAAGTCCTGCCTGCTTTTGTCCTTAATACCCTAGAATGCAATCACTATGAGCAGAATGCTTTTGTCATGAACATTAATCTCCTTGAGCATTCATATTCTACTAGAACTATTCTACATTCCTGCTAGAGAGTGAATGTCCCTGTTCTATGTACCCTACAGTTCAATCAGTATTTTAATTTTACATTATATAATGCTATACGTTCCCTGATTTAAGATGTACTTTGTTAGTGCTTTCTTCTTAAAATCCTGCTGCTTTAACTAAAAAAGAATTTCAGCTGCTGCCTGGTTAGACTAGGGAGAAAGATGAGTAAGTAGGTATTGTTAATAATGCGGAGTTGTGTTGTTGCTAGTGCAAAGGAATGAGTTTATTTCTTGCTTAGTTGCTGTAACCAATAAGAATAGAAGCTGACATTGTCATAGTTTCTGGGACTTGAGAGGTGATGTAGGGTGGCAGAGGAGTCTTAGAGATGCAATTCCTCATGGCAGGCTAGTGCTACTTGGGAATTGAATGTGGGAATAAGTTTTCAGTAAAAATTGTGATATATGGAAACTTAAAATGTGATTAGATGGTTACCACACTGTAGAATTCCTGTATTACTGTATTTTTCACATAGCTTGTGCTCTATTGCAGTTCATACTTTCCCTCTCCACTAAGTACTGTCTTTATAGCTTTGTTTGGGTTAAGTCTGTCTGCACTTCTTTTTAGGATTTCTCTTTCTTTACCTTTGTTTCGAACAGTGCTTCTCTAACCATTTCGATCTGTTCTGTAGTAACAGAATGGAACTGCCTGTAATCTTGGTGTGTGAACAAAACAAGGATTCAAACACACTTACTGAATGCAGTAGCATTTTTCATCTGCTTTTGTGATGTATTCTAGTGATTGTTGTTGGCCATGCATTGGCTGTAGTAGTGCAAGTTCCCAGGTTCAAAGGTTGCTTTATATGGTTTATTCCCTCTAACTTTCTGCTGAAAAGGCATCAACTCTTTGGAAGGGAATCCTTTAGCATTTAGTCTTCTGTATTAAAATACTTTTGTGTTAATTCAAAAAAAAAAAAAAAAGGCTTGGTTTGGAAATTTTCTGCAGTGTAGTCTAATATTTTGTTTCATATTTTTCAAAAATATTTTAATCTTTAAGTCTAATTTTGCTCTTGGAAACAAAACCCAGTTTTGGTGGTTTTTTTGTAGTTGTAATTGTTCAAAAGATAAAAATAAACCACTGCCTTGTTTCTGGGGTAGGAAATGAAATTATTCTGCTGCTGGAGAATCAGTTGTATTTGTATATGGGCAAACCAAACACACCTTTCAGAAAACCAGTCAGAAAAGGGATAAAAAGCCATTGCCACAGTTGTGAGAAGAATTGCTCGGTAGGTTTAACTCCAATGGCTTCAGGTCTTCAACAGAAATCCTAGGAAGCCATTCAATAGCTAAATGATCAGACATTATTTAAAACGTTAGCAGAGTGGCCTGTGTCAGCAAGCTGTTTTATGTTTTACTCCGCTCACAGGTAGATAAAGTACTTAAGGGAAAAGGGCACTGGAGACTTCTACAGTCTTAATATCTGAATGCTTATCAGAATTTGATAATTACAGAACTGGCACATCTTTAAAAGTTCATTTAATCTCCCTGGCTTGAAAATGTTATGAGGGGGAACAAAGATATAAAGCCTGTGTTGAACTTGGGAAGACACTAAATGCTGTATTTTTTGTTTTGTTTTGTTTTAGAAGTAACACTTGGGAGATTATGTAACCATAATTAACAGAAAATAATGGAAAAACTTGTGTAAAAACAGAACATGTAACACTTTAATTCTGCTCTTTTTTTTTGGTGATAAGTACTGAATTAGTATTAAAAGAGGAAAAACAAGAAACAAATTTCAGTAAAAAGAAAAAATACAGCTTCTCTACATTGATAAAATGATCCCAATAATCATGCTTGCTTTTCTAGGAAATAATAGTTACTGACCTGCGAAGTTACATCTGTAGCATGCATATGCTTGATGACTTTGACAGTCGTGATTTGTATAAAATCAACAGCTTAGCATTTGACAAATATTATAAAAGCTGCACAATCCAGTGGCTTTGTGCTTTTAATAAATTGATTACTCCAAATAGAAATACTCACTGATTTGTATGGTGGAATCTTAATGTTGCACTTGGTCAGTTTTACACTAACTAGTTAAAAAGTGAAAATGTCAAGGGAGGATTAAAAATATAGTTAAAGCTTGAAAGTATACTAGCTTGCTGTGTGTATCTTGTGTCATTTTTTGCCATGTGTAGTGCTGAAAAGTGTCTCTTGTGTATAGCTGCCTTGGCTGTGGAAGAGCTTGGCTTTGAGCGATTTCATGCATTAATTCAGTAAGTAATATGTTGTAACATTTAAAATACAATATTTTGAAGTAACACTAATGTTCATAGCCCCGGAGGGGCTTTGTTGAAGAACTTCTTGTGTGTTACACATCAGGTTAAATTTGGATTTCAAATTTCAGTTTGGGGGTTTGGATTTTTATGTTGATTTTTTTGTTTGTTTGTTTTGCATTTTCAGTTTAAAATTGAATACTGTCTGGAACAAAAAAACTTGACTTTAAAACTGGAGCAATGTAATAACGTGGAATTGCTGAATAAACACAGCAAGTTAAGATTCATATTGAATTAAGTTTAAGATCTCTAATACTTTGAAGAACTGAAATAACTGCTGATTTTTGTCTTCAGTAGTAATAATAGGTTGAAGGAACAAGCTATAGTTGCATAAAGAAAGAAGAGAACATTACAATTTGGACCAATTGGACATGGTTTAGTAGGAGCTATTGGGAATAAGTGAACGGTTGGACTGTGTGATCTTTTAGGTCTTTTCCAACCTTGGTGATTCTATGATTCTATGAATTTCCGTAACTTCATCTAATCCAAACACTTATTTGTTCCCTAATCCCAGTCTATAAATTATTTATACCCATTTTGATTTTTCACCCCTTTTTCTGCCTTTTGAGCAAGTTGAGCAGTAGATTTCATGAATTTGCCTTGACTATTTAAATTTTTCAAGTGTTGGCCGGAGAAAACTCGCATATGGGTTCAAATGTACGGATAAGCAGAGAACGTGATCTAGTTTGAGTTACTCAACGAAAGCTAATATTTGTTTGGAAAGCAGTGCTCAGCTGTTAATTTCCCAAGAAGGGGCAAGTGTGTTACTTCACTGCAATCTGGTGGAACTCTTCCTTTCTCCAATTTTTACTTTACCTTTTATTTTTAAATACAAGATCACTTGGCGTTACGTAATTGTCCAGGCAGCATCCAGGTATTTTCCTGAATGTGGATGTACCACTTCAAATGTTGTTTTTTCTTTTTTTTTTTTTTTTCCAAAAGCGTGAATATAATAATGTCAAATTCTCAAGGGAAATGTAGTAATTACTTCTAAAGGCTGAAATACTTGTTACCTAGTGATATTTTTCTCTATCACTTATGATCTGAAGATCTGTCAGTATAGTGTGTAATGCAAACTTTATTCTGGGGCACATGGTCTATCATCATTTCAGTAACATTTAGTAGAATTCCTGGTTTAAACTACTCAACTTGTTCACAAAAATACATGACTTTAACCTTGTTGATTGTGTTTAAAATGTACGTTTTTACACCTTGCTCCAGATTTATCATCATCTTGTGGGTAAATGCTCATGACTCTGTGGCAATTATAATAACTACAGAACAGCTGCTATGTGTATAACACTAGTTGTAGACTGTTTTACTTGAACATTTTCATGTTAGGTATCTTAGTATGGCTTGCTTGTGCTTCATGACTATTTCATCTCAATAGGGTTTTTTTTTCTGTTGCTTTTTGTCTTTAGCAAACGTGCATTCAAAAGCTTCCCTGAGCTGAAGGATGCAATTTGGGATCAATATTCAATGTGGACAAACAGATTTGGAGTATTACTCTTTCTGTACTCTGTGATACTGACAAAGGTTTGTGGGTTGTTTGATTATTGTGTACCTTCGTTAACAGAATGTTTGGTCATGTAACCCTTTCTCTATAAAACTGTAACACTGAAGTCAGCTGAGAAATCTAAGTGGATAGAATAGTATCTTCACTCATGCTGCAATTCATATGCAGCATAAAAATATGAGAAGTTCAATCCCTTGTTTCAATGTCTTATCTGGGAGAATTACAGATTTTAGAACATCCTTGTATATCCCTGGTACCAGGAAAGATGAGTGTGTTTTGGTTTCTTTTCATTACATAAGAACATCAGTCTCCCTATAGCATTGTTTCACTACTGCGTTTTCTTGCTTTGTGTTTCTATTTGCTGTCATGAAAAATAAATGCATTCATGTCTCAGTTAACATGATATCAGCCTCCTAATGTTTTGGGATTATGTTCTGTTGTTGTAAATGTTGCTGTTCAATCCTGAAGAGAGCAAAACCACTTGTTATGTTTCTGCAGGGTACTGAAAACATAAAAAATGAAATCGAGGATGCAACTGAGCCATTGATAGATCCTGTTTATGGTCATGGAAGGTAAGCTGGAAAAGGTGTGGTTGCTGCTACTTAAAATAGGTAAATGTGCTCATTGTTTTAAGAAATTACTGGCATTATTAGAAGGATTCAATCACGACTTTACAGTAAGTAAAAGCAACAATTATCACAGCATATCTGTTTTCACTGCTTATTCCCTCTTGTGAGTTCTGAGCAAAGTCTCATGTTAATGCTGAGTTTTCAGAGGAAGAATTCTCAAATTCAGGGCTACATTTTTATATGAAATCATTTGATAGAAAGAGTTGGAATCATATTAGTGTTGTTGAATTGCAAATACGCTGTGTTTTTTTTTTAAAGAAAGTTAAGGAAATCTCCTCAACTGCCTAAATAATAAAATATTTTTTCTTTTGTTAAATGTAACTACTTTTTAAGAAGTAATTCTTATCCGTTTTAATAGGCTATTTCTTTTTATTACATAGCCAAAGTTTGATTAACCTCCTGTTGACGGGGCATGCTGTTTCTAACGTGTGGGATGGAGACAGAGAATGTTCAGGAATGAGTAAGTTGATTATGCTTATTCATAATTTTTACATAGTATAAGATGCTCTCCTACACATTTGGAATACCATGTATTTTGCTTTGATTTCTCCTTGTTTCTGTCCTTGGATTTAAGCAGACATGTAATGAAAATAAAGCATACTTGCACAGAATCGCTGATGTTGGTATCAGTGATTGTCAGCTACAGACTGAGATGATAAGATACCTGGTGGCTTGGATCATGGAATGGCATGCAGTCTCAGCAAGTCATGAAGATACGCCAGTGCACTGGAGGCAGGCCACTATTCAGAGTGACTTCATCAGGCTAGATAAATGAGCTGTTGGGAACCTCATGAAATTAATCCAGGGCAGATGAAATAATCCTGTGCACCAGCGTTAGCGAGCATTGAGCAGGTAGTTTTTTAAGAAAGTAGCCTGAACATGTGAACAGCAGTTTGCACATGAGTCATCAGAGTGTGCCCTTCTGAAGAGGTACAGCAGCATCTTAGGCTGCATTAGAATGAGTCTAGCCAGAAATGATGTTTCTGTCTATTTGACCCTGGAGCTTTCTGTCCCATTTTGGGTTCCCCAGTGTGAGGGAGGCGTTGACAAAGTTGAGCAAATTCAGTGGACGACCATGAAGGTAAGTGGGCTGAGCACATGATGCACAAGTAGAGGTGGAGGGAGTACTTTTGCTTCATTCTAAGAGGTGAATTCAATGCAGGGAGCTTATATGACTGTCTTATGGGAGGTGTTGAGAAAACAGCCTGACTCTTTTTGGAGGTGTGTAGTGGAAGAACAAGAGTCTGTGACCAGAAGCTGTAGCATGGAAACTCCATCTCAGTACCAGGGAAATAACTTCTCCCAGAAGAATGGTCAAATGCTGGAACAGGTTGCCTGGATAGGTTGTGGAATCCCCATCCATGGAGATGCTTACAACTCAACTGGCCACAGCTTTCTGCGGTCTCTTGATATAGCTGGGCCTGCATTGAGTAGGTGTTTGAAGTAGGTATCCTCTAAAGATCATGTTAAATGTGAATTATTCTGGGGTTCTACCATGCCTGGTTACAAGTACTTAATGATTCTTTTACTGATGTGCTGGTACTTGTCCAGATCCTCATTTGTTTTGTTTTTTTTCCCTTGATGTTGTCTTCCTAAGTATTGCACTACTGTGTTTTTTTTGTTGTTGTTTAATTTCCTTTATTTCATACAAAAAGAAGATGGTCTTAAAGCAATAAATGCTTTGAATTCTGAAGATGTTCATCTTCTCTCCCATACTGCTACGAAGTACATCTCAGGTTCATTGGCACATATTTCACAAGGATTTCCGGTAATGTCAGTCATTGCGGAAATGCTGACTTAGGATAGGTTCATATTAGTCTCCATTCAAAATCTGTATTGAAATGCACTGGTTTTACAATGAACAGTTAGTGTAATCTCCTTTGAGACTTTTTAGGCTTCTACTTGATTATGATTCCATGGAGGCTATACTTTTTGCATCAGGCTTGTCAGCATGTCATTTGGGTATTGTAGCACTTTTCTTTGCTAGGCTTCTTTCCAGGGCATTAAGATTGGATTACTGTGGTTTATTATTGATGAGTCTATACTGGCTGTTCTTTGATTTTGATCATTCTCTTGCATGCATATTGATTACTGTTGCAAGATTATTTGGAGGTTAAAATCATCCTTTGTTCAGGGATTTTCTTTTCAGCATTTTTCATTGTTTCTGTTAGGTACCCTACCTTATTTTCTCTTTTATAGTCTCTGGGCACCTCCTTTCTCTTTGATACATAAAGTAATAATTAATTTTTCCCAGATGTATTTTATCTAGCTACAGGTTGATACGAGGAGTTTCATTAGGATCTGCAACCTTGAATGTGTCTGTCTTAACTATTTTTAAGATCTTGCAGTTCTTTCCCTTCTTTATCTTTCAGATTACATTTCTGAGAGACCTTATTCATTAGTACTTCAAGATGGAAATCTTTTTCTAAGAATACTAAATTCTTATTCTATTTTTTTTCCCAGAACTATGTGCATAATTGTAGAAAGGCACAGGGAGTAGTATTTATTTTTAAAAGACAAATATATGACAGTTGTTATTAATTTGTCTGTTCTTCGTTCATCAAATAATTTTGGACATAGCTAGCTGAAGTTAAATTTTGCATCTGGATTTTTAGGAAAGTGTTGTGAGTTTAGGAAAGTCTTGTGAGTTTCATGGCAAGTGAGAACTGCCAGAGACAGAAAAGCAATGCACACACACACAAAAAAAGGGGAATTACTGCCTCCGTTAGGAGTGACTGCTTGCAGAAGTCCTTTGTTGCCTCTTGCTTCATCAGTCAACAGGTGTACTGGTAGTGTAACTGCTCTGCCTATGCAGCCTTCCTAGGCTGGTAGTAAGGAAATAATGGAAATCAAGAGGAGGCGTTGAAGGGGAGCAGGGAACAGGAAATACTGCAGAGGAGTGGAAGTCAAAGTAGTTGAAGTTATTGTTTGAAGAGGTTCTGAACACAGAAATCCTTGAGAAATCTTTTTTAATTTTACATTCTGAGTTATGTGGCATCTGTATTTTTGCCTCAGCTACCCAGCTCATTTTCAGTTCAGTGTTTTAAGTCCAAAACTTCACTGATGTTAGAGTGAGCTTCCTGTTGCTCTCAAGAACAAGAGGAAACAGCAGTTTAATATGGAAAAAATGAAATGCTGTAATCATCTTGGTGTGTTTTTTTTTGTTGTTTTTTTTTTTTTTTTAAATAGTTCCAAGAATTTGTGATGTTTCAATCCATCACTAGGTGGTAGTATTCTGATACTGTTTGTAACAGTCTCATTAAATTTTGAAATCATTATTAGTTTTGCCAGAACATCCTTCAAAAGTTCTGATTTTCTTCCTTTTTAGAAATCTGCTTACATTTGCAAAAACTTTAAAAGAGAAAAATCTGACTTTCTGACCAGAGGCATATATACTCAGTTTTGTAGATGATGTTTGGTGTTACCGTAAGGTTTATTCAAAGGTGCTACTTCCTTCTGTATGGAGAGGATATGTGCAGGGTTTAAGTTTTAGCTAGTGCTGCTAGATTCCCTTTGTATGCTGTTGTGCAGCCTAACGGATTTTTGTTTGTCTCTCTTCTGTTGGCTGATTGTTAAGTGAGAGTTTCTTCTACAGACTGAAGCTAACCTAATAGCTTTCAGATACATGGTCTGTCTAGCTTGATTACTGGTTACTTAGGATATTCATACTCTGCTGCTACTTAGAATGGTTAGAATCGTTGAAGTTGTAAGGCATCTCTGCAGGCTGTATGGTCCAACTCCCCTGCTCAAGCAAAGATGCCTAGAGCATATTATCTGGGACCATTTCAAACAGCTTTGGAACATATACTTGAAGGAATGCTCTACCACATCTCTGGACAGCCTGTTAGTTATAACTTGAATCATTATTTTCTGAATAGTGAATGTTACCCTTTGGTCCTCTTCCTTGCATTCTGAATTCTTTGTTTATCATTTGTTTCCCTTCGTATACATATTAGTGTTTCATTTAACAGTAAAAGCTGTTCCCTAGTGTGAAGGATCTTGAGTTCTCTTGACTGTGGCTCAAATGAAGATGAATTATCTAAAATACTGCAAACAGCAGTTTTAAGTCAGTGAGATAATGGAGTTTTGAAGGGTAATATCTATGCAATCCCACGTGTGAAGATAGATCTGAAACTGTGCGTTCAAGGATTGAGAATTATAGGCTGCAAAGAGGTCTTTCTACATGTATAACTAGCAGCTCTAAAGCTGCTTACAGTCCACAAAGGTATTAAATGAGCTAGTTTGTAAGTTTGGTTTTGTTTTTCTCAATAGTGGAGAAAAAAAACTTAAATCATCTATAATGACTGTTATCCACTGCTGGAAAATTCAGTGAGTTAAAGTTCTTGAAGGAAGCATGGCACTGATATTGGTTCACTGTTGAGATGGCATATATGTAAGCCCAGAATTCCTTCAAATCCTTACAATTATGATTGGTTTCTAAACCTGAATTTGTACACAGAAAAGCATCAAAAAAGGCTCTGCAAGTGCTCTTTCAATCCATTAGTATGTAAATAGTTCAGCTGCTTTGCCAGCTGTGTGTGCTTGAGGTCTGCATGATAAATGAAAGTTGATACAGAAAATAAAATGAGGGAACAGTTTATTTTTGTACTAACAACTATTATTTACAAAATTCTTATTATTCAGAATGTGAAATCATTAGGATAAATAAAGCTGTGGAACTGTCAGAAAAAGGGACTGTTATATGTGCACATGCTCATTCATACATGTGTGGTTTTTTCCCTTTAGAAAGGCTGTTTTTCGTATTATTTTTCAGTATAATTTTAGTGTAATTTACAAGTGTTTCTTCTAATAAATCCAGCAGCTTTTTAAAAGAGGCTATCAACAGCAATCTTCATCCAAACACACCTATTTGGCTCTTATTCCTTTATGAGAGTGAAATTATTAAACTCTTGTCTTTTTTTATTTTACTATAACTTATGTTTTCTGAAACTGCATGACTTTTAAAAACTTACTTAACCAATTTTGAGAGCAAGAGAATGTGATTTAAAGAAGCTTTGCAGATTTTTCTTTCAGTTTTGGGTTTTGTTTTGAACAGAACTTCTTGGCATACATAAACAAGCAACAGTAGGCTTTCTGACTCTGATGGAATCTCTGAGATACTGTAAGGTAAGCTGTTCTCTGTATGGTTTAAATTTTTTTGAGTCCTTTGAGCTTTGACAGTATTACTTAAAGCTCCACTGTGAATGATGAGAGGAGGTATTACAGCACTCTGAAAGGATGTTCAACTTCAAATTAAAACTGAGAATAATATTACTCTACAGGAGATATATAAGGCAATTGTTAAATTCATCGTATTAGGTAAATGTTGTTTGATGCTATTTTAAATTAAAATTTTATTGCACCAATTTAAGGTAGTCAGAAACTTATTTCTGTTAACTGATACAATGCTTACTGTAGTTATGTTCATGGTTAAAAAACTTCATGATATCAAGTCCCAAGTTGACTTGCTAATTGCGAGTGTTGCAGTTTTATTGTCCCTTTTTTATGCTGTCACTGCCTTAAAATAAAACAAGCCCTGAACACAAGTTCAGGCTTGAACTGAACTACTATGAAATGTATTCTGAATTGGAAAGATTCAAGATACAGATGTTATCTTGTGTATTTATTTGTATACATCTAAACACTACTGAAGTGCAACTTGATCCATGTCATCTCCCATGATGACACAATTTCCTTAATTATTGTAGAAAACTTTGTGCTTTACAAATATGATTTTTGAAACAGCATTAGCACTCTTAATTTTGAGTGGCTTTTTGCTTGTCCTTGGCTTCTGTTTCCATTGTGTAGTTTGTAGAACATTGACGCTCTCATTTATTGATTAAACAGCAGTTCTGAATCAGTATATTCAAAATCAACTTGTAAGTCAAATGGACTTCTGCTTCGTTTTGGTATCTGATTGTATTACTGTTAGACACAGGAGTAGTTATTCCTGTGCATTTTCAAGCATGTCTCCAAGGCTGAACTATTTGATATTGATGATATCACTTTCCCAGTGATGTTGTCTTTCAGTTAGCATAAGTTGCATCAAACAGGAATCAGAGATGTGCGCAATAACTATTCTACATTATTTTTTATTTTCCAGGGCATTTAATGTTAGTTCTCAAAGCATTTGGGTGTTCACAAACTGATTTGTTATTAGCTTGATCATTATCTTGATGAGATTTCTGGGTTTGCTTTGTGACTCTGATTTCATTGCACATTAGGTTGGCTCCTATTTGAAGTCTCCAAAGTTTCCCATCTGGATACTCGGCAGTGAAACACACCTCACAGTCTTTTTTGCCAAGGTATGTTAGATGTGGTTTTTTTTGTTAGTTCTTTTTTTTTTTTTTTTTTTTTTTGTAACCTCAAGCTTTTTTTATATAACCTCAAACAGATAAATTACATAAATCCAAAGTTCAGATGTTACTATGACTTGAATTTCATGTGGTTGTAATATAAAACATGGTTACCAAAACTTTTAATTAAGCCTTCCCTTGAAGGCAGACGTGTTGAAGTGGTTTAATGATATCTGTTAAATTTTAATGAAGTCTTTTGGTCTCAGCTTAATTCACTGGTGGAGGAAAAGAGGTGTGATTTAGAACACCATAATTGTGATGTGCACTGTCTTAAATTGTGGTGGTGCAAGAGAGATTATCTGTTGATTCCTGTAAGTTTAATCTTTCTGACAGTATTTTCACTGATTTTTAATCTGTAACCATATGTATATTTGTTCTAAATAAAATATTTGTTCTACCTTAAAATAGATAGAGGTCTGTTACGATAATTCCTTACATCTATTCTAACCTATACTAATGGCAATCTGTGGAACATATAGAATACCTTAGGTATAAGTCAGTTTAAAATCTTTGACCAGAGCTTCTGAACAGGCAGTTCTGAATTCCAGTTGTCTGATGAATATTCTTTCTCCTCCTACTCTGTGGCCATAGGAAAAATCGATATTCTGTTTTGCCTGCTTATTTTCTGCATTACTATTTCTCTAAACAATCTTTTCTAGTAATTTTATTTCAATTTTGAAAAATTTCTCAAAATTATATGAGGTCAGTATAGATACTAAGTTGTAGACATAAAATAAATAGGCATAATCATTCTATTACACAAATAAGATATACCTGTGTAGAGTGTTTCATATCTACAGGGACCATTTCCAAGTAGAAATCCTTTTCTAATGCTCTCTTTTTTTAATATTGAGGGCTGTTTCAGTTTAAAGTAACTGGGCATCGACGTCTAATGTTTCCATTATGGAATGGCTCATCTTTTCTTGCTGAACTCCACTTAGGCTGTAGGAAACTTCATCTTGTGATTAGTATCTTGGGAACTAAAAATCAGGAAAAGGAAGCAACAGTCTTCCCAGAATTCTTTTTTTTTTTATTTTTTTCTTATGAAGAAAGGAGGGACCTGAAGGTGTGTTGAAGTTCTAAGAGTGTTTTGTGTGTCTGCTGTCACCCTTTGTGAAGTCACAGACGATCCATTTCAGATGGTCATGTCAGCTATGTAGTGGAAATACTGAATGATGTTGACAGTCCATTCAGTCCATGCCATCAGTTGAATACCTTGCCAAATGGTTGGTCAGTAAGTTGTATATGCAGTTGTCTGAATGGTTCTGGTACTAAATGTAACTTCTAGCTTGATAGTGAGTTTGAATACGTGAGAGAGATTTTCAGAATGGAAAGAGAAAGACGGGGAGAGGAGCCAAAAGCAATTCAGAGTAAGTTTGGACAAAAACAAATGCGGCTTAATTCTCTGAAGCAATTCTGATTTATAGAAGCCTAAATCCTTGTGCATATATGGAACATAAGCAATTAGTAAGCAGTTCAGTAGTCACTTTTGCAGTTAAGTGAGTAATTGGGCCAAGAAATGCAGAAAGGCGATTTTTCTGTTCACAGTGAAGTTTCTTCATTGTTCTCTTAGGGACCTTTATTGAGCATGAAAGTTCAAAAACCAAAAAGTTTTACTCAAGTTCTGCATACCATCCTACAGTCAAAAAAAAAGACAGTTCTTTAAAACTCAGTTGCTTCCTTTAGATTTTACATTTCATATGAAGTGCAGCAATAAATACTGTCCTCTTCACTGTGAAATGGAAGATACCAATCTGGTTTTCTGTCTCAGAACACTTTGAATACTGAAAACATTATAGACTGCTGTTGCTGTCTGCCAGAGTATGTTTGCAGTACTCTAAGTCTGAACTCTTCTGCTCTAGCTGTGACTTTCAGAGAAACATTTGGTCAGAGTTTCTAAAATAAATCTAAAATAGTCCATAGCAATTCTTAATCTTTCTTTTCCCTTTGCTTCCAGCATTTTTTAATAAATGATGAAAGTGTAGCACAGCATATTTCTGCTGAAAAGCACATTTATTTGTGTAAAAATAAAAAAATGAATTGAAATACATAAATGTGCATAAGTTCTCTTGTAACTGCTGTTGCCTGATATAGCCTTAAATGGTGACAGCTGAGTCAATTCTGAGTTTTAACAGAAGTCTACCAGCAATTTCCCCCATTTTTAATAGTATTTGAAATAATGAAGATTTTATTCTATCTACTTGTTTTTCATCACTTCATCAGGATTGTCAAAATTCATTCTGGGTGCACAGAAATATTACTGGCCTCATTTTATTACAAGGAATTGGAGGTACGAATAAATGATGGGGAAAAATTTGTTCCTTAACAGTGCAATTTTGATTGAAGCACAATTTATGACACAAAAAAATTCAATATCTTTTTCCTCCTGGGCCTTAGCTGACCTGTCTCCAGGCAGAAAGTTGTTTATAGCTAGATATTTTTGACGCCATGCTGCAGTCAGAATATATTGCAGTGCAGTAGATGATGTCTTGTACAGACTATGGAAGCATAAGAATACCCATCAAAATGTCTCCTTCTGTGGAAGTGTTCTTTCTAAATGAAAGAAAACAGATGAGAACTTCCTTCTGTTTCTAACAGTGTAAGTGTCCCTGTCAGATGGTGCTAATTCAGATAGGTAATAGGCTAAATGCCCTCTAAAAACCAACATTAATTTAAAAAAAAATATTAGGTTGTAGGGAAGAATCTGAGAAGCGGAGTGGCTCTGACAAGTAGAGATGAGGGTGCTTTCATTGAAATACTGTGTGGTCAGTTCTTGGTTATTTTTATGACCCTTGTAATGGGGAATTATGACAAGCTGAGGCTATTCAGAACCTTTAGGAATGTCAGTGTCATCAGGCACTCTGTAAAATAATACAAACAAATTGAAACATTGTGAGATATACCAAAAAATGTGTCAGAGAAAATATTTTCTCTGGCTTCTAAATATTACCGGCTGACCATTTTATATGCTGTCCATTTTCAGTTGTAGCATTTTTAGACTTGAGCAACCAGATAAGCAGAGGAAGCTCCTGATGAAGAGGCATCTGAACATTTACATATTAACGCTTTTCAAAGAAAGTGTCCCTGTTTTGCTGTGTTGGGTCTGTTCTTAGAGTTTTTTCTTTTTCTAACTTCGATCGCTGTAATCTGTTCTCCATATTTTCGGGGCCTAAATTGGTTTGGGGGCATTTCTGTAGTATCCTTGATAACATCATCTCTCAGGGGAAAAAAAGGCATTTATTTCTCTTCCTAAACAATCCTTTTAATGAAAACGGTGTAGAACAACTGAGCAAACACTGACATTGCTGTCGTAGAATTCTGAATTTGGGTCAGTGGTCTTTGCCAGAATTGTACTTAAGAGGAGCGTTACAGTGTATGGCATTTAGCTTCAAAACATTAGCATAGAATGTCACTGGCCATGATAGAAAATAAGATACATGTGGAAAAATCCTGTTGTTACTTTTGTACTGTTCAAAAGTAACCAAATAAATCACCAGAGAAGAAATCAGAATCAGACTTTTGAAGAATTCCACGTCGGGATGTAGTTGCATAGCATGTAGTTCCTGAGTCTCTGATTTCTCTGATTAAGTGGAATTGTACTCAGTAGGATTGTCCAGATCTCTGGTAGAAGGAATATAGATGTGTATGGCAGTGGCAGGAAAAGCTGCTGGACTGTAACAGGGTTTTAGTTTTGTGTTGCTGATTAAGAGCAGAGAGACAGATGCTGCTCTGTTCTTGACAATAGCCCTGATCAAATTAGCTGTGACTTTTCAGATGTACATATCAGTTGTACATTTCTGAAAGGAAAAAAAACAAAACAAAAAAATTTTAAAGTGAATTTTAGGGCAGAGTGTTCCCTGTGGTATCTGTGGGCCTATTCTACTGGTTGAGTTACACCATGAGTTGAGTATAAATGCTGTTGTTGAACAAGTGAATTTAATTTGTTCTAAATAATGCATAGTTCACAAGGGTTGCTTTGTCCAAATAGTTTCTTAGGATAAAGGCCAAGTTTCTTTAGAATAATAGTCTCGCAGTTGGAAAAGGGCACCTCAAAATGAAATACTTCTGTAAGTTATCTACTATTCCAGCTTTGCAAGATCACAGAGCATGACTGTGAAACCTTATTCTGCTTTTTGCAGAGCTACTCCGATGAAATTGTTCCTACTACAGATACGTATTTGTCTGAGAATGTGCTCTTCTGATCCATTCCGTTGTTTGTTGTTTCGGAGGCTTTCTATGGAAAAATCTGCTTTTTTTCATCCATATAAATAATTCACCACAATTTACCAAAGTAAATTCTAGGTGGTTTTTTGTTTGTTCTTTTTATTTGGTAGAATGACATTTTCAGGTGAAGTGTTTCCTTGCTGCAGCGTTGTATGTAGAGGAAATGTGGAAAAAATAGTGAAGGCACTGCTTAATAACCTTTATTCGTGCTGTGTTGGACCATGTTGTTTCAGTTACAGCTTTTGTCCTCATTACGGTTTAAGGATGCCTATGCTTTTGTATAAAAGCTTAGAGGAGTTTAACCTCAAGGCAGTGTTGATTCAAAGGCTTACTTAACTTTGTAGTTAATTATAGTGTAGCTTTCTAAATGAGATTGTGAGAACCTGACTTGAAGCACATAAGAGGGCAGGGAGGGGAATAGTGTTTAAACTTTGCTGCAGTAAAAGAGACTGATGCATCTGTGTATATTTGCAGATATATTTTTAATGAAGCTAAGTTCCATGAAGTGATGGTGGCTGTATTTTCTCTAAATGTGAAGCACTGTTGTTTTTGAAGTCTCCGTATTTCTAATTCTCGTTTGTTTCATTAGAAATAAAAATTGTTTCTTTAACTGGAGATAGTTTTTCTAAGAAGCCTTAACAATTACATTGTTTTGGGCACTCTTCAGGTGAACCACTTCTCCTTTCTTCTATTTTCTGTTTTTCAGGCTATTGCAATTAGCAGCC